ATTCGAACCGTCAAAAATCTATTTTTGAGACGTTTTTTAAATTCAGATGGGATAGACTCAAGGTTGTATTTTGGTTTTTGTAGATTTGTTTTCATTTTGTTCAGCTTCAGCATGAACTTGATGGATAGTTTCTTCCACAGCCAGCCTCTGTACTGGTTTGACTATAGATTTTCAGCTTCTCCACATATTCTTTCCACAGAGATAGTTACTTTGATTCCTGTGTAGTCCATTAAGTGAGGCCCCTTTGTATAATCACCATGTACGGTTTCTAAAAATGTTATTAGGGAGCTCTGGTGGCCTAGTGGCAAGAAGCTGCACTGCAATCCCAAAGGCACGCGGTTCAAGGCCACCAGCTGCTCTGTGGGAGAAGGCTAGACAATCTCCTGTGCGATTAAGTGCCTCTGAAAACCTGCCGGAGGGTCAGCTATGGGTCGGTTCTGTCTTGACGGTACACAACAACAACAACAATTATATTGTGGTGAATAAATCATTGTTTATACAAAACTCTATCATTTGATTTCAGTCTCATTTCTGTCACCACACCACATTTCACAATTATTATTACTTTTTCAATTTCACCTTTTACATGTCAATCATCAATTATTATTAATCCAACTTCGTTGCATGTTTGGTTAATTTCAGACTGTAAAACTTGTTAGAAGCCTTCAAGTTCTTCAATTTTGCCTTTGTCTAATAGTTGTACTAACAGGGCTTTCTTGTGTGCATAGGGATAGTACCTATCTCTCAAAGCATTGTACTTCAGGATAGATCTTGAAATGTTCTTTTTGACTAGGAATATGACAACATTCCTCTTCAGTTTGCCGTAATAGATTATATGACAGCCTGATTAAAAATGGCCAATACCATTCCATCTCAGCTTACGAACACCTAAGATGTTGATTATCATGTGTTCTCTTCCCTTTTTGACAACCTTCAATTTTCTTAGATTCATCCTTCACACATTCCATATTTCAAGAATTAATAGATGTTCACAGCTGTTTCTCCTCATTTTTTGAGTGCTTTTCAACCTGATGAGTTAATCTTGTTTTCTATCTCACAATGCTCCTCTGTTACTCACTGGGTTTTCATTTCAAAAGGCCTGTTATTTCAGAAGTGGGAGGTCAATCCTGCCTGTCTGTCCTGTCTGTCTCAGTCTGGAAGCTCCATGGAAACCTTTCCACCACTGGTGACTCTGCTGGTATTTGAGAGACAACTGGCATAGCTTCCACAACACAGCAACATGCAAGGCGTCCCGGAGCAGTTAGCAGCCGGCAAGCAGTCCATCCACGGGCAAGCAGAGAAGCCAGCAAGCATATACGCAAGCACGTCAACAAGCAAGGGCATACACAGGCAGGCATACGGACACAGACTAGAAAAGAGCCGCATCTCAGCAACACACGTTACCCAGGACAGCGAATTGTCAGGAAACCACCATTCCCATAAGAGCAAACTAGGACACAAGCAAGCATACAGACACACATACATGCATTGAAAACAAACTGTCCTGGGACAGTGTACCTGCCAGCCCAGCAGAAGATTAAGTTGGAGTGTCCAGTCAGGTCAGAGTTTCTGCTCATCTGTGCGTTGACTGAGGCACCGAGATAAGAGCCAGGTCAGAGGGTAGCATGGTTTCCAGTCTAGGGTGTGTCGAAGGTGTGTCAAGGGGTGGGGCACACAGCCTGGGGCAGAGGTTCTGCTGACCTCAGAGGAGACAGGTCTGTCCTTGTCCAGGCATGGGCACAGGCAGGGTACTTCTCAGATATGACGACCTCAAAGAGATAGCAACTGACCGTCCAACATGTCCAGGTGTGACATATCTAGGTGTTGCCGTACAGTGTGCCAGGATTACTGTCAAGCTTTAAGGACTAACGTAGGTTGTTCTGTTGCATTTTAGACCTGCATAGTGCCTATTAGCTGTGCTTTTCCGTGAGTTTTGGAAATGTTTACCTTGTGCCTATCCCAACATTGTACTTTGGGAGCAGATTGTATTCTGGATTTTAAAGGCTCACAGATGAAATGGAATTTTGTCCTAGGATAGATTTTGGCTTTGGAATTTAGTTAGGATATTTGGATTTTATTTTTTTTTAAAATGATGTTATGTGGTGATTGAATTTGTATATGGCAGGGCCATAAAATTTTTCACGGTTAGAGGGACAAAGGGTGGAATGTTACGGATTTTGTTGTCTACCAAAAATATGTATTGTAGATTGTTTAAGTCTGAGATTATAATTCCATTTGTAAATGGCTTATCTTTGTTCTGTTATTAAGATAGAATTAGTATAGGGTATATTTTGGTTCAATTTTTTTTTTTAGATAGAAGAGATTAAATATGCAAATAAAAGAAGTAGAGATGTTGTGGTTTTGTTATGTGCTGTCACTTGCAACTCATAGTGACCCTATCTACAACAGCCCTGAAGCCTGCTCTGTCCTGTGCCAACCTTACTGTCTCCAACACATCTACGCTCATTACCCGTCACTGAATCAATCCGTCTCATCAAGGGTCTTCCCCTCCTGCGCTGTCCCTCCACCCTTCCACGCATGATGTCTCTCTCCAAGGACTGGTCCTTCCTTGCAACATGCCCAAAGTATGTCAGACGTTAAGCCTCAGAATCCTTGCCTCCAAGGAGCAGCCTGGCTTCACCCTCTTCAGGATGAACCTATTCTTTCTCCTAGCAGTCCATGGTATATTCAATACTCTTCTCCAGCACCACAGCTCAAAGGCATCAATTCTCTTTCTATCATCCCTAGTCATTGTCCCGCTTTCTGACACATAGCACACAACTGCGAAGACCATGGCCTGGATCAGGCGCACCTTAATCTCAAGACTAAGTAGAGATGAGGGAAGCAAAATAACCAAGTCACATGAAGATCAATCAGGAGTTCAGAAGAGACAAAGACCTTCTTCCAGGGCCAACAGAGAAAGCTCTTCCCAGTGCAAGTGCCCTGAATTTGGACCTCTGGCCTCCTAACTGTGAGAAAATGAGTTTCTGTCCATTAAAGCTGCCAACTTACAGTATTTCTGTTGTGGCAGCACTAGGAACTGAAACAGGAGATATGGGGTATTTCATTTAAGCCACAGTCCTTAAGGTAGGCATCAATACCCCCAGTTTGTAGGTGAAGTAATGGAGATGTGATGAAGTTACAGGACTTGTCTGAGGTTATCAGTCACACAGTGGTGATAGATTCACAGCCGAGCCTGACTTCAAGGGACACGGGAAACAGCTTGAGAGCCGTTGCTCCATCCCGGGCATTTATCTTTTTCAGTTGTACATCCTCCTTCACACCCCAGTTTAACAGATGAGGACACGGAGGCTTAGAGAAATCAAGAATTTGGGCAAAATTGTAAGAGCAACAGCGGAAGCAAGTTTCAGCCAGGGCTTTGACTCCAGGACCTAAACGTGTAAACGCTCTGCTCTCATGCCTTTCCATTACACCACATTGCTTTCCCAGAAGAGGTGCTACCCTATACTTCAAGATGGTTGCAGTGGATCTCCATGCACACTCTATCAAGGTAATAACTTAGAACCGGACAAACAGCTTCTGCAGCCCTGAGAGGGAGACTGGGCAGGAACTAGTGGGCGTTCCCAGGCCTCCAAAACACTGATGGGGCAGTGTGCACGGCACCCTAGACGGCCCCACCGGGCACGGTGCCCTAGACGGCCCCACCATGCACCCTAGACGGCCCCACCGTGCATCCTAGACGGCACGGCACCCTAGCCGGCCCCACCGTGCACGGCACCCTAGACGGCCCCACCGTGCACCCTAGACGGCCCCACCGTGCACGGCACCCTAGCCGGCCCCACCGTGCATGGCGCTGTAGACAGCCCTGGACTTTCTTGGCTCAGGAGGAAACCTTAGTGACCTGAAACCTAGTTGAAGACGGTCATAGTTGTCCACCACCCCACAGCCTTCTGATAGAGGTCTGGGCTCCAGCCACTGCTTTATTCCTAACTGAGATGGACTGAATTGCACCCCTGAAAAGACATGGAGTCCTTATCTTTGGTGCCTGTGCTCATGGCCTTTTTTGTAAAGAGGGTCAGTTTCAGTAGCCTGAGATCACACTGGAGTAGACTGGATCCCATCTGACTGATATCCTCATAAAAGAGGAGAGAAGGACAGTAAGGAGCAAGGAGACAGTCATGTGAAGAGGAAGCGATAAGCCGAGGGGAATGTGAGGCCGCCAGCACCTGGGAGAACCCAGGCAGGATCCTCCAGAGAAAAAGGGACCGCACTGCACATTCCGTGCACAATTCCATTTCAGGAGTCCTGGGCACTGCCGAGGGCTAAGGTTTGGTATGCCCCAAAGGCTGGAGTTTCAGTCCACTCATAGGTGCCTCAGAAGAGGCCTGGTGGTCCACTTGCCCACAATAAGCCACAGGGAACCTGCAGAGCCCAGTGCAGGAGTGACACACAGGGCCGCAGGGACCCACACGGGGCCGCAGGAACGCACACGGGGCCGCAGGGACGCACACGGGGCTGCAGGGATGCACACCACAGGGACACACACGGGGCTGCAGGGACCCACACGGGGCTGCAGGGACCCACACAGGGCTGCAGGGACGCACACACAGGGCTGCAGGGACGCACACGGGACTGCAGGGACCCACACGGGGCTGCAGGGACCCACACGGGGCTGCAGGGACCCACACGGGGCTGCAGGGACACACACGGGGCCGCAGGGACCCACACGGGGCTGCAGGGACGCACACGGGGCTGCAGGGACCCACAAGTGAGACAGTAGCCTGCTTCCTCACAAACCACCCTGTTGATGGGACTCTGTCCAGATAGCCATCAGTCAGTCACGCTAACCTAAAGGGTCCCTGGCAGGAGGCGTGGCCCGAGGGATGGTGGTGATCCGCAGACAGCAGTGGGAGCTCGCTGAGGGGAGGAAGCCCAGGTTATGTGTGCCGAGAGCCCTTGTTGAATGCCCGGGTGGCAGGTGCTCGTGTGACTGTGGTGAGGTGACAGAGGGCCCAGCCCAGCCCCCACTGCCCTCGTACCTCCTGCAGCTTCTGGTCCTCGAGGGTCATGGTCTGCAGCACGGTGCTGCCTCGGACCGAGGGGATCTCCTGCCAGAGCGAGCTGCTGGAGGCCGAGGAGAGGCGATGCAGGCAGGACTCGGAGGAGACCAGGGCCCTGCGGGGCTGCCGCGGGGAGGCCAGTGCGGAGGACTCTGCCAGGCTGTCCAGGCGCTGCTGACTCTGGATTTCCTTGTTGAGACACGCATCGCTGTAATCCTGGTAGAGCAGCTGGGCTGAGGACAGGGACAGAGAGGGTCACCATGGAGCTGCAGCACTGGCTGGGGGCAGGAGAAAGTGTGGGGGACTCATCACTGTGCTGGCACAGCAGCGGCTGGGGTGCAGAGGGACAGCGGCAGGGGGTCACCATGGTGCTCACAGTACAGCACTGGCTGGGGTACAGGGGGGACAGGCAGTCACCACCATACTTGCAGTGCAGCACCCCCTGGGGTGCCGAGGGGAGAGGGCCACCCATCACTGTACTTGGCAGGTCACTGGCTGGGGGCGGGGAAAACATGGCTGAGGGGCACAGAGCTAGGGTTGCAGTGGGCTCGCACCCAGGGTCTCCCTCTGGCGCCCAGGCCCACACACTGCTGTCCCGGCCCTGCCCAGCTCGGGGCAGTGGCCCCACTTGTCCTACTTACGGTTGATGAGCTTGGAGCGGCGTCTGGAGAAGGCTGCCTCCTTTGGCTTCTTCTCCCTGTGGTGGAAGAGGGAGTGGTTGCTCACTGGCCACTTGATGGGAACCCCAGTGGTCCCAGAAGACAGTGTCTCTGAGCTTTGGGCTACCCTGGGCTGTTCTGGACACCACATGGGACTGAGCCCAAGTCAAGGGTCTCAGAGCAGCCTGGAGAGCAGAGCCAGAAGTCCCAGGCTTCCCTGGCCAAGGGTGAAGTGGATGCTTGCCCTGTCCATCCATAGATGAGACAGGCACAGGCCAGCCAGAGTCCTGGGCCCCTTGTCGACCAAGCAAAAATCTGAGCATGTCCTACTCACCGAAAAACAATGGTGTCTGAGGAGACAGGGGTCCTCTCCATGGAGGCCACTCTCTGATCTGAAAACAGAAAGACATGCGTGAGCTGCCCACAGGGCGAGGGCACAGGCCAGGGGGCGGGGACTGGAGAGAAGTGATGGAGGGACTATCAGAGGGAGGAGGCCACCTGAGTGAAGAAGTTGCCAGAAGTGGAGGGGTCAGCAGAAAGGGCAGGGGGCATCATATGGGAAGAGGACCCCAGAGCACAAAGAGCGCGTAAGAAGAAAAGAGGGCATTAGATGGGGAGGGGACATCAGGTGAGGAGAGAGCAGGGTGGGAGGGGCCAGCCGAGAGCAAAGGGGCATTGGTGAGAGGAGAGGGTAGCATGAGGATGTGGCATCAGAGTGGGAGGGGACAGCAGAGGGAACAGGACCAGGCTGGAGATGGATGAGGACAAGTGCAGAGCACGTCGGCAAGTGTTGTCCTGGCAGCTGCAGGCCCTCAGAACCCCTGGCCAAGGACAGGGAGGGAGGGAGCCAGGCCGGTGGTGGGTGGGGGCCCTGTGCTCAGGCCCAGTGTGGGTGGAGGTGGGGCCAGGACACAGGGTGGTGGAGACAGACAGCTCTGCTCACCTGAGGTGCCCTCGGGCAGGATGGAGGGCCGGCGCAGGCCCTGCCGGTTCCAGCCCTTGCTCTTGCTGGACCCCTCCCCAGATGATGGCCTGACGCCCCCGGCTGGAGGTCTGCCAGGGTCTCTCCGATGGGGCCAGCTGGATGCCTTCTCCAGTGGGGCATGGCTGGGCCTCTCTGGTGCCCTTGCCCGGGCCTGCTCTGTTCCCTGTGGGTTGAGGGTCGTCCCCTCCTGAGGGCCTGCTCTTATCCAAGGTCCTTGGGGGGCCTGCTCCACTCCCCGTGGGCTGCTAGTCCCCTCTTGAGGGCCAGCTCTTGTCCTGAGTCCTTGGGGGGCCTGCTCCACTCCCTGTGGGCTGCTGGTCCTCTCTGGCGGGCCCGCTCTTATCCAGGGTCCTGGGGTGGGGTCTCCTGGCTCCTCTGGCTGCCAGGACCCAATCTCTGGGGCCCAGGCAGAGGTGGGAGACGAGAGGCTCAGAAAGTTGGTCATGTTGCTAAAGGCCATGCTGGAGCCCGTGTCACTCGTCATCCTGCTGGTGGTCACCCTGGGGTCCGTGGTCTTGCTGGCAGCAGGGGGCCAGGAGGTGCGGCCAGGAGAGGGGTCGGCGGGAGCTGGGCAGTCCTGCCCTCCTGATCTTGGCCTGGTCTGGCCCCCAGTGTCCATGATCGTTGTCTGCATGCTCCGGCTCCTGGCCCTGACCTTTGGGGGCAGAGGAGGTGGCTCGGCACCAAGGTCCAGGGTAGGCAGTGGGGGCAGTGGCTTATAAAGCCGATGACTCCTGGAGGAGTTGAGAGGGGACAAGGGAGTGGGGGGCAAAGGCTTGTTGTATCTCGACCTGGGAGGCAGAGAGGTCTGAGCAGGGTGGGGGCAGTCTGGGATGGCAGGCAGAGGTCGGAGCTGTCTTGCAATAAGGGATTCAGGTGGACCCCTGGAGGTGCTGTGGAGTGTGGAGCGGAGGGGCCGACAGGGTGGATGGCTATACCGTTGCAGGGGAGTGATCATCGCCTGGTGAGAGGGGTCTCTTTCCCCCACGGGGGGCAGAACACACTTCTTCTCCAAGGGGACTGGGGGCGCTGGGAGTTTCCCATCCACAGAGTCCAGGGGTGGAGGTGGGACTGGGATTGGGCTGAGCTGGGAGGCCCCCAGGGGGGTGCTGTCCTCAGGTGGGGAGGGGAGCAGCCCAGGCCCTGCACACACAGTGGGTGATACTAGGGTCACCCCATTGTCCCTCCCACTCCTCCTGTCCCTCCTGGGGGCCACAGAGCCATAGATGGCACCTTTAGGGGGGCTCTGGGATGACTCTGAGTGAGAGAAGGAAAGTGACCTGGTGACATCCAGGGACAGATCAGTCCGTCGGTGGCCTGGGAAGGAGTTGCTCCTCAGGTGCAGGGGGGACCCCAAAGGGCTAGCTGGGGGGCTCTCTGAGAGGGACCCCACAGGGCTGGTTGAGGGGCTATGCTGCGGGGACTCTGAGGAGCTAGCTGGGGGCCTCTTCTGGGGAGACACTGCGGGGCTGTGTGGAGGTGACCCCATGAGGCTAGTCGGGGCTGTCTCAGGAACCCTGCAGAGAACTGGACTGTGGGTGGATGGGGAGGGTCCGGAAGCGTCCACAAGCCTTGCAGCGGGTAGGGTCTCCCCTTTGGGGCTGGCAGGCAGTGAGGTGGTTGAACAGGGGGAGCCCAGGGCCCCGGGTGGCATTCCTGGGGTACTAGTGAGTCCTACTGGCTGGACTTCCTGAGATGCCATTTTGCCAGGGGTCACCTCAGCTGCAAAGGGTCTGGGCAGGAACTCGGGCAGGTGAGACCATCCTGGTTTCAGGTCAGGGGTCAGGGACACTGAGAGGGAAGCATCTCCAGCCCAGGCATCTACCTGAGCCCCAGGAACCCTGGTTATGGGGCAAGAGGCCTCAGGGAACGGGTCACTAGGATGATAGATGCTGGGAACCATGGGAGCCAGAGTGGAGGGGTCCTTGTGAGCTGTCTGCTCTCCCCTGGTCCCTAGCTTGGGCTCCAAATCCTTGTCTACTGTCCCTGCCTTCGTCCCCACATGCTCCTCTGACTCTTGCAGTGAACTCAGCCCCCCATCTGGACGCTGCTCTGCCAGCTCCTGTCCAGGCTGCATGTCCGCGCCATTCTGCCCTGACCCCCACAGGGTATCCTCCTCTCCATAGTCCCCGAGCCTCAGATTTTGGGGCCCCCACCCCATCTCCTCCTGACCCCACTTGCCATGAGTCAGGTCTCCTAGCTCCCCAGTCTCCGTGTCCTCTTGGCCCAGTTTTGGGTTCTCTTTCCTCCCATTAATCTGTTCCTGTGCTCCTTGACTCCCAGTGTCCTGCTGTCCCTGACCCTTCTGATCAGGGTCCCTGTGGGGATGCATGGGCCCTGTTTGTCCATGTCTTTCCCATGGCTCCTCCTGGGACCTGGTGGTTCCTGTCACGTACTCTACCTGGGGTGGCCTGGGGCCGATGGGAGTAGGGCTGTCTGGGGGAGCAGGGCTGTCTGGGGAAGCAGGGCTGTCTTGGGGAGCAGGGCTATCTTGGGGAGCAGGGCTATCTTGGGGAGCAGGGCTGTCTGGATGAGCAGGGCTGTCTGGGGGAGCAGGGCTGTCTGGGGGAGCTTCTTCCAGCTCTTCTCTGTCCCTGGCTGTCCAGTCCTGAAGTCCAGTGGCAGTTGGTACCATGTCTAGACTGATCTCTATGCCTGGGGGCCCCCAGAGCTCTGGGCTAGCAGGCATCCTGGCTTGGGAGTTGACTAGCTTGAGTCTGGCCACCGGGATCTGCTGGTGGGTCCTGTCCACAGAGCTGTCCTTGGGAAACAGGGCCAACATCTCGGAAGAGGAGCCCTTCGACTTTCCTTGTGGGGTCTCAAGTCCGTGGCCTTCCACTGCTCTGTACGCTGGGCTCTCTGAAGCATCAGGCCCTGCAGCAGGGACCAGGATGTCCCTCGTGAGTGCCTCAGAGGCCACCCCAAACTTCAGGCTGGAGGCAGTGGGGGTCTCAGCTTCATGCCAGGCATCCTCGGCATCCATCAGGGCAGGATCCTGAGCAGGAAGTAAAAACAAACAATACCGTCCCCTTCCAGCTGCATGTCTCAGAACAAGAGGCCACCAAGAACAGAGATGGGGACACTTCCTTGTCTCCCTTGGGGCCATTCCTAGAGACAAAAGCTGCCCCACAGTGACATCTATGAAACCTTGCATATCACAAACATCAACCCAATGCTGGGAACAAAACAAAGGTCTGGCACTCAAGGGCTTCCACTTCTGAAGGTGACAGATACCAAAGAAGGAAATCAGAAGACGATCTCTTATTCTCAGAAAACAAGGATTCTGCTCACCTCCCTGTCAGGGCAGATGTGCAGTCTGTCCGTGGACACCATGATGACTCAACCTCTATTGCTCCTGACAGCTCAGAGGCCCAGCCTGGACCTGACACCAGCGAGACGCGGCTGGAGGGGCTGTGCACAGGCCATGGAGAGGCATTCAAGTCAGCGTGCTTCCATCGCCACTATCCTACAATCTCCTGCTCACATCATCTGCTGACTCTCCACCTACGGTTAACAATTCTGTTTCTGTTTTAGAGTCTGCCTCTAGAAGGTGAAGTGAGAGCTCCACCGAGTGAACAGATACTGATTTACTGAATTAGTGCAGCAGTAGAAATGTTCGAAAGGAGCCCTGGAGATAGGACGGTTAAGGGACCAGGTGCTGACCCAAAGGCCTAGGGGAACCACCCCATGGCCTCCGCCTGGTGATGTGCTCCTGTCAAGATAGCAGCCTAGGACACCCGCAGGCAGCTGTCCTCTGTCCTGTGGGGTCTCTCTGCAGAATTGCTGTTACCCAGCAACACTCACTCCTTACTCCTCTAAGGAGCATGGATAGTGCACTGGTTAAATGCTCAGCTGCTCACTCAAAGGTGGTGGTGGTTTGAAACCACCTGATGGCTCCTGTAAAGATGAACCAGCCCAACCCCCTACTGTTGACCAACTGCAACTCGTGGCAACTCCCCACTGGGTTTTCGAGACTGCAGATCTTAACAGAGCAGGCTGCCTCAACTTTATCCACCAGACAGCTAGTGGATTGAACCTTTCAGTAACAACCCAGCACACAACCCACTATGCCTCCATTAGAGCTTAGACAACTGGGGCAGTTCTGCTGTATGAGAGGCACTAAGAATAACTGGATATCACGCCCATCAGGCCCATGATGACCATGACCAGCTCCAGTGAGCCACCCTGTCCTGTGACTGATGGCCATGACCAGATCAGTGACCAGCTCCAGTGAGCCACCATATCCCAGTGACCCAAGGGACTTGGGAGTCTTTCCGCTCCTTCTCAGACTCCCAGTCACCACGCCCCCCTCACTTCTAGAAGCACCTCATCACCCCCTGCACGAAGATCTGAGTGGTGGGCGCTCACAGGGAGGACCTGCTCCCGTCTTGAGCCCCTGCATCACCCACCACCCCTACGGCCCTTCCTCAACTGGTGCTTTCTCCTCTCCAAGCGCCATCTGGTATCACGGCCCCTCAGGGACCTCATTGCCAGGACTGGTAGGTCCTCTCGCGCCTCCCAGGGTCCCTCGCTGCTGGAATTGCCTCACTGGCAGTTCAGTTACTCCCATCTTTCAAACTCTAAAAGGAACTCTTCATGTTGTTTTCAGGTCCCCACCTACCACTACCTCCAACCTGGTGTAAGTGCCGCTTTGGCAGCTTCTGCTGTGATCTTTCTGAGCTTAGTTCCAAAGCGGGTTCTGTGGCCCTCGGTTTGGATGCCCCATGGCGATACTTCTCAGAATTGGTATTAGAAATCTGTGCTCGTATTTAGGCTGCATCTTCCTCAAGTTCTCTCCAGCTATTTAGGTCAAACAACATATTCTTCATTGTACTTACACAGTGACATGATTATGCGTGTGTTTCAACCTATCACCTGTTACAGACTGAGTAAAGGTGCTGGGTATTGCCATCCTCTGTGGTTATGATTTAGCCTGTGGTGGCAGAGCCCACAGCATTTGTACGGTTAACCAGACGACGCATGTGTTTAGCAGTTCGGATCCACCAGCAGCTCTAGGGAGGGGTAATTCCCTCCCTTTTCAATGTACAGCCTTGGAAACCTGATAAAGGGTCCCCGTGAGCCTGACGTAACATGGGCGTAGTGAGTTGTCTCTGATGTTTGGTTTTTTAAACTAACATTAGGAGTCCTGGTGGCATAAGGCATTACTTGCTGGGCTGTCAACTGGAAGGCCAGTAACTTGGGCTAGTAAACTGATGGGTTGATGCTTCGAACCCACTGGCCACCCACAGGAGAAGCTGGGTCCGTGAATGTACGCAGCGGCCAAGGGGCAAAGAGGTTTAAGTTCGAGCTGCCTTTTAAAAAACTAACTTGCTAGTTTAAAGGCAAGTATAGATAATTTATTTCTGCATTTTATATTTTAAAAAGAGATTAAATGATTAAATGCTTCCTTCACTGAGATGGTTTCTCATTCTGTCAAGGTGGAATCGCCTCCTCACTGACCCTCTACCAGGCTTCCACGCCTGTCAATCACGCAGGGAGAGCTGCTCCTCTTCCTCAGAGCCACTTGTGGACTTGAACTTCCAGAGAAGTACAGCCTTTGGGTTAGCCCACGACTCCTTACAGACGTAGCCACCAGGGCTCCCTACGTCGGTGACAGATAATACTAGATGACGGGTAGATGAAGAGAGGGAGGGCCAGGAAAAGTCTCAAGATCGGGTGAAGATTCACTAAGATAACAGAAAACGTGCACTGAGAACTCGTTCCCACTGTGGCAACCGTGTGGGACAGGGAACTGCTGCAAAGCATTTCCGGGGCTGGAATCCTTCCCCTGCAGAGGGCCTGGGGATTCAAACCAATGCCCTTTCAGTTATGAGCCAAGCATCGTAGCACTGTGCTCCCGCCACTGTGCTCCCATGGCTCCTCACAGTGTTCACTGCATGCAAACCCGCTGCCCACACGGGGTCTGAGTGCTGGTGACCCCCTGCCAGGTTTTCAAGGCGGTAAATCTTCACAAGAGGAGACTCTTCATTCCACAGAGAGGCTGGGGTGTTGGAACCACCAATTGATTAGGAGCCCAACCCCAAGTCCCCTGTGGCACCCGGGCTCCTAACCCCGGTGGTGGCTGCACGAGAGGGAAGGTGGAAGGCAGAAGAACAGCATTCACGAGCTGGGAGGGTTTCAGAAACGCCACAAGCGGAGGCTCGGGACCTCCAGCAGGAAGCCAAGGCTGAAGTCCTCCTCTAACATCGGCGCAAGGACACAGGTCCCTGAACCAGGGCCACAGGAGACCACTGGCCACATCCAAGCCCAGGGAAGACCCTGAACCCAGGGTGCTGGAGTGCACAGCTGCCTTGGCTGCCTGGCGTGGCAGTGGGGCCTCTTGGCCCAGGACATCTGATCTCCTAGTTAGCCACCTCAGGTGTGTGCACATGTGGGTACGTGCACACCCCCTCATGCATGGACACCCCCAATATCACACACGCACACCACTGCCACACATGCACAGACAGATGCCCATATACACTGTGCTCCTATCAGTGCACATGCACATCCCAAATCACACACGCACACACACTAACATATGCACGACCAACCTGAAGGCACACGGTTCAAATGCACCAGCTGCTCCGTGAGAGAAACACGGGCAGTCTCCTCCTGTGTGCTTTACTGCCTCTGAAAAACCCACTGGAGATGGTGAGAAAGGAATCAGTTCCAATGTGAAGGCACACACACACACACACACACACACACACACACGCGCGCGCATGCACACGCCATCCTGGAAGTCCTCCATGATGGAGCCGATGTGGAGAACAGTGTTCGACCCTCACGAGGAAGCCTCCATCCCTCAAACGATGAGCGTGGCATTGCTTAGAAGCCAGGTCTCTGCACATGTCAACAGTTACCGCGCAGAGTGACCTTGGAGAGGAAGACAGAGGACACAGGGCACGAGCAGGGCGACCTGGCACGACACCGCAAAAGCCAAGAAGCATGGGAGCCACTGGAACGGGGAAAGATGAGGAAGGCCCGTCCTCTGAGCCTCCAGGTCCCCAGGTCCACGTGTGTGGCAGCTCTTGGACACTCATGGGCTGGCCTAACCAAACAGGCAGGACCAGCCACCCCGCAGACAGCATACGTGATGAGGTGCTGCCACCCATGACCCAGATACCACCCATCTGGGGCAAAGAGCTGTCTGGGGTGAGTATGCCTGTCCTTCCTGGCAAGCTGACTCACTGGATGACCTGCTCCCTGCTCCACTCAGACAACGGGGCCCCAGGGAGCACACACTGATCCGTGTGTAGCCCTCACTGAACTGTAGTATGCATCTCACAGATGCTGGGGACCCAGCTCCTACCTGCCTACGGGGACAGGTGTGGATAATGAGTAGTCTCCCCCACCTCAGCCTGCTCCCCAGCCCTACATACACCCACGCCTTGACCTCAAAGCAGCCACCTTCAGACACATAGCATGTTTCTGGCACAGCAGGCTCACACCAGGGAGCTCTGGTGGCTAAGTGGTAAGGAATTGTGCTGTCAGCCCAAAGGTACATGGTTTGAATCCACCTGCTGCTCTGCGGGAGAAAGACAGACCTCTGAAAACCCTCTGCAGAGATAGCTGTGGGTCGGTTCCCACTTAACAAAACACAACAAACAACAGGCTCATACTGGATGTTCCACATGCTCCCTGGACATCTTCAGATCCTTCACAGAGACGTCTCCTGCGACCGCGGCCACTCCATCTTTACTCACTAGGATCTGTGGTCGTAGTACAGTCACCGTTCACTCAAGGGAGAAAAAGCACATCCTGCCCTCCCAGGCCCCTCCTGCCTTAGTGCTCCCCTGGTGACCAGGCATGGCGCCCGGAGCTCACAGCTCTAGACCACGTGGCCTGGGGGCATTGGCCTTTCTGCAGCACTTCCTCACCTCCCTCTGTGCCAAGAGACTGACCGCAGAGCTGTGCACAGGCCGGGGCAGGTATGATGGCCACCTGGACTTCCTCCTGCCCAGAGGCACTTGGGATTGA